CTTTTTTACTCTACTATTACTATATTGTACACTATATTGTATACTACTATATATCTATTATATAAATGCTGAAGATTTTCTTGTAAAATATGCCACGTATGTGCATACACACACACACACATACACACACACGCGCGCGCGCGCATACATATATACATATATACAGGGCTTGCCAAAAGGATACACCCAAATATCTCATAAATGATGCATTTAAAAAAAAAATGTTTCTTACAAAAATTCTAAGGCTTAAAAAGACGCATTCAATGATAGTTATTTGACCTAGGATGGCGTTGTCAAGGTCAAGTTAAGGTCAATATAAATTTTTTATGTTGACCTTGACAACGCCATAAATGGAACCTTTCCTTTTTCATTACATATTTTTGTAGCTTATCTCGAAAGCTTTCCAAAATACTACAATTAAGTTTATTTTCATTAAGTACTTTGCGAGTTATATTGAAAATTACAGTACCGCCGACATTAGTATTACGCAAGGTGTTCAATTGATGACTAAAATCTCTTGAATATTGTTCAAGATCATGTCCTGAATAACATTTATTAAGATCAAGGTCACTGGAGATTGTTTATCTTATTTTATTTAATTTTTGCACAGAAAATTCATTTTTATGTAAAATACCCCCTACCTAAATTTTAATAAAAATACACTTATTCGATGTGTTTTCATTGAAAATGAAAGAATCTGGCAAAAAAAACGCGGCGATCGGTGAATCGAGTTATTAAGCGTTAAAGTTAGAGACTAAAGATCAAGATATCCATCATCTCAATTCGATACAGCTTTATGTATATGTTCTGTGCATTAATTACATAAATTCACTGCTTTAAAAACACAAATTCACTGCTTTACAAATGCAAATTCTTTGCCTTAGCAGTGAATTTGTGTTTTTAAAACAGTAAATGTGTTTTTAAAGCATGAGTGAATTTATGTAATTAATGCAGAATGTACACATAAAGCTGCAATCGAATCGGGATGATAGATATCTTAATTTCTAAAGTTTCCAACTTTAACATTTAATAATTTGATTTACAAGACCAACTGCTGCGTTTTTTTGCCAGATTTTTTCATTTTGAGTGAAAACACATCGAATAAGTGTATTTTTATTAAGATTTGAGGTAGGGGAAGGAGGGGGATTATTCTAAATAATTATTAAATCATTTATTTTCTTCTCATAGAACTTTGAGAATTTTTTCAGAATTTTTTATCAACTTTTTAGTACTGTATTTTCTTATTTTTACCAACATGAGAAAATATGATATTAAAAAATTCAGAAAAAATTCTCAGAACTTTATAAGAAGGAAATAAATGATTTTTGTCTCTTGCAGTTTTTCTGTTGATAGTATTTGAGTAAAAAATTATTCAAGACCAATATTTGGCAATTTTTAAGTAATTTTTAATATTTGGTAATTTTAGTAATTAATATCTTGTTAACTATTGCGAAAATTGCAAAATGATAAGAGGACTTTCCGTCTCAGTTTAGTTCGCTCTATCCGCACAAAAACGATGGCCAAAACTTATGGGATATCCTATATATTTGTATAAAATAAATATCTTAAAAGATTTTACATGTACATATACATACATCATTCCTTTCTTTGCATCTTCAGAGGTTTGTTGAATGTACTCCATTTTACTTATCACTGAAAAAAAACTGAAAATTTTATAAAATATGCTCCATGTGCTCTTTTCTTCGTGGATGCCTGTCTTTTTCCTCCAATTAAACTTGGAAGGCGAAGAGAGTATCTTCACACTAGATTGTATTCTAGATATAAAAATTCGAATCCTTCTTCAACAAATGATAATTTACAACACTTGAATAAAAATCTCTCTCTGTCTGTGATTATTTACTCTATCTCCAAAAATCGTAAAGAATTAACTGACAAAATCTTAAGATAGATCTTCGCTTCTCTAACCTCGTTCATTTAAAAACCTAACCTAATAGTCACAATGTGCCACGAAACAAAATGATGTAAAGAAAATTTCTTCTCCAATTCTTCTTCTTCAAGGCCCTCTGAAGGGCATTCCAAAACTCGACTCTGTCAACTCATAGAACCAAAAAATCGTGGACATTACCGATGGGATATTGACTACGTAGTTCGATGTCTACATTTTGTGACATAGAGGCGCTTCAGAATAAGGTAACAGCTGAATCCCGCATCCCGCGACAGGTACGATCGCTCGTTCCTCACTCTCAAGGCTTGTCTGGTTTGAAATTATGGTTTATGTAATTTCACTTTGATGAGGCGAAAAACTGGGAAAAACAATTGGCCCCGCTGTCATCGGACCACGACGGATAAAGCTCGCCACGTAAAAGACATTGGATAGTGACATTGACATAGCGATATGAAACATGAAATCGGCATTAATCGTTTGTTGCAGACGAGCGAGATCACGAGGTATTTCGCGGAGGACTACTGAAATTAGAAATCAGAATCCCGAGGATGGGCTCCGGCCAGAGCGCCCGCAAATTAACCATCTCGAACGAGGAGGAAGTCGGAGTGATCAAAGTATCAAACGCAATCGTACAGCGTCTCGCTCAGGGGGAGAAATCAAAGTCGCATAAGTCACTGCCGGATGAGAAATCCGCTGCATCGATCCAGCACCCGGTGCCTCCCACGGTGCCTCACGCCAGTGAAGCGACAACTGAGCAGTCAGTGTATTATTATCCAGAGTTGACGATGTCCGCTCTACAAATGCAGCAGCAAATGGAAGAGGAACTGAAACGGCAGGATCAGTACTGGCAGAGGCGTTTACGAAATATCGAGGATGGTTACCAAAAGATCAATCGCGTTTTAGAGGAAGAATACAAGAAGGCAACTAACGAGTCCTCTGTCGCTAAGTCTGAGGGTGAGTTTAGATTTATTTCTTTACAATATTTAATTTAATTTATTCTCTAATTTGATCTCCATGTATATCGAGTTGCTGCTTCTGCTGAGAAATCATAGTCGAATATGAAAAATAATAGACTATGATAGGTCAGCTACTTATAGTTTAAGACTTAAAACTTAGATAAGTAATAGTTTACTGCAGAAAGTATGTTCAACAAGCCATATGATATTCAACTATGAATGTCAGTCTAAGATATTTAGATTTTAAATGTTAATGCATAGATAAAATTAATTTCTGGATAATTTACTACTTTGATTACTAAATAAAAAATTATACTAATATATATACAATACTTTAGTTCAAGATAAAACTAAATGAAACTTTTATACAATGTGACATAAATAAGTTTTACAATTTAATATGAATATATA